ACATGAGTTCTCAAAAATAATTGCTAATAGTTTTGAGATTAATTTAAATTGTTTTGCTCTGTTTAGTCTGCTAGAATATTTTTAAAAAAATTTAAAAAGGGGGGGAAAGACTAATGCTGAGTATATTAGGAGGGAAATGTTTACAAAAGTCATTTAATGAAACCTTATGAACCACTTAAAGCTTTAAGTTTAATTTTTGTACAGTGCTATCTATTGAAAAAATGAAACATTTGCATGGATCAGAGGCCAGAATTTGGGGATTTTCCAGAAGAAAATTAGCACAGCTCCCCCTTCCTGTTCCTTATTCTTTGGCAGTGGTTTACTTTCTGAATGACAAAGTATCCAAACCTTTTGAATATGCAAAAATTGAGCTGGAAATCACAGGAGAATCAGCTTTTCTCAAAATAATTTAGCCTTGGAGGTTCCAAGTTGTACGTTGAAAAAAGAAGTGATTTAAAAGAAAAAAAATCCAAATCTCTTACTAATTAAAAAGCTTTGGTTTACATTTGATCCTAGAAATGGATGTCTTGTTCCTTCTGCACCGCCCAGTCCTAACCACTATTCTTATTTTTGCATTCTCAACCTCATACACTACTTGAACATATTCTATATGTGGGAGATAGGAGGAGGAAATTACTTTATTTTGAATTCTGAAGCATATGACAGTATCACCTGAACCAAAGCCCATTGAAGCCAATGGAAAGACTCCCATTAATTTCAATGGGCTTTGGATCAGGCTCCAAAACAACTTTTGCCATTGTCCTTTCCAACTGATGTTCTCATTCAGTTATAGTTCTTGTTATCAAGGGGCTTAACAATTTTTTTATGGAACAGACAAGGAAATCAAAAGTGCCAAGAGTGTCTTTGGTGCTAGAGAAACAAACAAACAAAAAAGACAATCCCAACCGCAAGGAGGTTACAACTGAAATAAGGGCAATTCTTCCTCTTCCCATAACGCCTTTTGCTGCCCCTGTTCCTGCACGGTAATCGCATCAAAAGTACTATTGGCTTGATTTGTTAGCTTTGTGGGCTTTGAAAGGCGCTTAAGAGAGTAAGGTTCCCAAAATCTGATTGATATTCAGTGGAATTTGGGTGCCTATCTCCCCTTAGGCAACTTTTGCAAATTTCATCTATAACTGCTGTGACGGTACCTCCCATAAGGTTTTATGGGAATATGACATAACTGGAATATGTTTTGTGCTGCCTGTGCCATGTAACATATCTCTGTAAAGGTTATGGTCTACTATATCTATATGGTCTACTATATCACTTTGTACTTGAGGTTAAGAATATTGGCTGTATACTTGCTTGATTTCTAAGTAAGCTTTGTGAGGCATTTGGTCAGCTTCTTTAGGAAGGAATTCGCAAGGTTAAGTACCTGATCAGGAAGCACTTGGGGAACAATGAATTTTGGAATGCTCCAATCCACGTAAGAAGTCTTCCTGGAGACATACAAGATACCATGTGGACAATGGCTTCTGCCTGTAAAGACTGTGAGTCATGCATGGCCATGTGACTTGCCCAGCTGACTCCAGAACTCCATCTTGGAGCTGGACTTTGCATAGGAGTGAGGAGGGGGGGTCTCCACCCACAAGAGAAAGTCTATTTAAACCCGTGGGAGACCCCTCCATTTTGTCTTCAGCTGGCTAAAGAGGGAGTCTCTCCACCCCCCAGGATACTTGAAAGAAACTGGCACAAAGGACAGTAACTACAGGGGGTGTGAGTGATTGCTAGACCCAGGCTAAGAGGAGATTAGTCTGGAAAAGGGAGCATTCTGGAACTGGTGAGGATCTTATCTGTATTCAGTTTGATTAGACATAGATTTGCGCATTTTATTTTATTTTGCTTGGTGACTTTGTTCTGTCTGTTCCTACTTGGAACCACTTAAATCCTACTTTCTGTATTTAATAAAATCACTGTTTACTTATTAATTAACTCAGAGTATGTGTTAATACCTGGGGGAGCAAACAACTGTGCATCTCTCTCTATCAGTGTTATAGAGGGCGAACAATTTATGAATTTGCCCTGCATAAGCTTTATACAGAATAAAACGGATTTATTTGGGTTTAGACCCCATTGGGAGTTGGGCATCTGAGTGCTAAAGACAAGCCCACTTCTGTGAGCTGCTTTCAGGTAAAGCTGCAGCTTTGGAGCAAGTAATTCAGACCCTTGGTCTTTGTTGGAGCAGACGGGAGTGTCTGGCTCAGCAAGACAGGGTGCTGGAGTCCTGAGCTGGCAGGGAAAACAGGAGCAGAGGTAGTCTTGGCACATCAGTTGGCAGCTCCCAGGGGGGGTTCTGTGATCCAACCCGTCACAACTGCTATTTGTGCAAATTAAGAGCTTGATCCTGTAAATAATTGCACACGAGTAACTCTGCTAACATATATAAGAGTTTGTGTAATGACTACTGTTGGCCCTGGGGATTGAACTCAGGACCTCCATGGCCAAAAGCATGACCCACAGCCACTTTGGTGTCCATTAGCTGGTAGGTGTAGTAGACTAAATCTTGTATGGACCAGCCACTTCTGAGGGACATGTAACACACACAGAACAGATTCAGGCACACTCAAGTTTGTCAACGTGCATCCCAGTATCAGTATTCTTTATTCACTTATACTGATGCCACTCTTCCTCTGTCATCCTTAGGACTTGTTCACCATTTTATGGATGTATTATAAGACTGTGTTTGAAAGATATAATACAATCTGGAACCTAACTGTAAACCTAACCATGAACCCATGATCCACATGAGTAATCGCACTGAAGTCACCATTAAAGACTCGTGTGAGTAACTCCTTCCCAGTGGGAGTAAGAAAGTCACAGCCTGGACCTTGGAGATGAATTTAGACAGTATTTGGTCCTGCCATGCAGGCAGGGGACTGGACTCGATGACCTCTCGAGGTCCCTTCCAGTCCTAGAATCTATGAATCAACTAAATGAAAGAGGTGCCACCACTTTTACACCAAAATCAGGCAAATATCCAGTGCTAAGTCTGGCATTAATCCTTTCAGAACAGGGCCCTTGGTTTATTCCTCTTTGAATCTATTCTGTATTCAAAGCAAGTACGTTTTTTCTGTCACTATACCGCTATTGTTAACAACTATAAATGTATTAAAAACACAAGGGCATTTCAGTATGTGTATTGTGCATGAGAAATATTGTTACATGACAAGCTCCAATTGGCAAGTGAAAAGAGGTTTTATTGAAGGAAATAGCAGAAGCAAACAGTGAACTATGCAGAATAATGGTAATTGTTCCTTTAACATTGGCAGCACACGTTCACTTAATATGACTGCTCCTCTGTCTCTGCCTCATCCAGACCCAAAGGACCTGTTAGACAAGCAGGCAGCCACCTCTCTCTGGGATCAAGCTGTCAATGCAAACTTGCTTTCTTTCTATTTCTCTGAGCTAAGCTATACCCCCAGAGCTCCAGAAGCTTTTCCTGAGTGAAAGCTTTAAAAAAGCTCTATTCTAAATTACATCACACGAGCTGTTCTCTTCAGACTGACAGAACAAAAGAGGGGGAAAAAATGCCAAAAGTGCAGTCTGAATTACTTCTTAGTTACACTGAACGATTTGCCTCATCGTGGTTTAGCAGCACAGATTAATGTCGCCTTGACCTTGCCCAACTAACCCTCAATGAGCTTCCTGCTAATTAGTTTCTGATCAAAGCAAGCTCAATCAGTGGGGGTTGAGGGGAACAATAAAAAAATGCAGCGCAGAACTATTGTATTCAGCTCAGTTCAGTGCAATAGCAGAACATTCTGAGACCTATTCCAATGGTTACTAGTCTGATTTGTTTATTGAGTGCCAGAAGTGAGCCTGATACTTTACAAACATGTTAGATGCAAGCAGCCTATTATTAGAACATCCCAAAATGTGCTTGGTGCACAATCTTATAAGCTCACAATCTAATGCAGAAACACAGAGAAGGCCAGGTCAGGGGTGGGGTGGAGTGAGTCATGGCAGTGATCTTAACGGCCTCAATAGCCAACTTTGTTTGAGGCATCTCATGCTAAAGGCTATTACAGAAGTAGAGGGATTGGACGGACGTTTTCCAATCCTGCTGCTGCTGAATGGGGAGAGGATAAGCAGGCAGACATCCCACTCCTTTAAGGGGCCTTAAGTTGGATTAAAGAGGTAGAGAGTCCCCTAAAGCAGCAAGAAGTGGCCAGATGTGAGGGGAGTTCTTTTGTGATCCTTTCCACTCCAGCAGATAAATAAAGGTAGGGCAGAGGTGCGATCTTTTGGGATAAGAGGTAGTTAAATTCTGGTTTAAGCAAAAAAACAGCAAGATTCATTAGGCAGCCAGCGATAGTTGCCCGGAATTTTCAGCTTTGCATCAACCCAAAGTAAACCGCTGGGTTTGGGCAGCTGAAATTCTGCAAACTGAAACAAGCTGGTTTCATGCAGCTCACATTCTGATCCTCGCGGCTATTTATCAAAAGATCTGTCATAAGGTGCTGTTGCAATATTCACAAGAGAAAGAGTGTTTAACCTAGGTATCCAAGCAAAGTGCCCAACTAAGGTAAAGTGGGTGAGATAATATCTTTTACTGGACCAACGGTCTAATAAAAGGTGTTACCTCACCCACCTTTTGTCTCTCATATCCTGGGACCAACACAGCCACAACAATATTGCAAACAGCTGACATAAATAAATACAAAGTGCAATTGAGCTCATTCTGATGGTATGGTGGCCTACATACATTTCCTTCGTAGTTCTGAGTTGGATACATTATTTTACACATCTTAAACTGTTGCTGGTTCTAATACATATGCACACACCTTCTAGAGATGGGCTGACTTGAATCAGATGACAGATCAATAAATAAATAAAGCCAAATGATATGGAGACCGGGTTCCTTACGCAATAGTAAATTATATATAATTAAATTCTTTCTTCTGCATGACAGGTGCTATATAAATGGTTATAATTACCGTAACACCATTTAATATTCCTCACAGAAAGGGGTAGCTCAGACAGGTGGGGAAGCTTACCTGAGTCTCCAAGAGGCTGTAAGATAGGACCGGCCAATTCTGAAAAACAAGAATTAAACAAAAAGCATCATGAGGCTGGATTTTGTAGCAGCACTAGTATGGCCTGGATATCAGAAAACCAATATATGTATCCTAAAGCCCTACTATTTTAACTGAAGAGACAGAGTCCTCTCTTGTACCACTGGCATGCCATATGTGCAGAATTCCCATTGATCAGAATGAGCTCAATTGCACTTTGTAGGCTATGTCTACAGTAACTTTCACCCTGAATGGTCCCAGAGCACTTTACCTACAGAGGGATCAGTTCGCCCACCACTGGAAAACAAAGAGTTTTGCGGATGTGTTTAACCTCCACTCTACAACACTGTACAAAAATTTAGGACAGGTCATCAAGAGGAATATAGCTAGGCAGAATAAAGTGATATGTGCCCAGGACACCTGCTCTAATACTCTGCGTGTGCATTGGGATCGCAGGCAGGGCTGGCTCCAGGCACCAGCAAACCAAGCAGGTGCTTGGGGCAGCACATTTTCAGGGGCCGCATTCCAGCCAGCCTCTTTTTTTTTTGGTGCTTGGGCGGCAAAAGCCTAGAGCCAGCCCTGGCAGCAGCAGCGCGTCCTGCACTGGTGGCACCCTGGGGCCGCTGCGGTTCGCGTCGGGGAGCAGCGCCCACACCTTATGGCCGGGCAGGCTCTGAGTGCAGGACACTCGGGCTGGGGGCCGCCCCTCGGGGCACATGGAGCCGCCTGCAGGTGCCGCAGGGCGGCCGCCCCCCAGCACCGCAGCCGGGGCTGGGCGAAGCAGCCAGAGCCACCCAGGGACTGCGGCAGGGCAGCCAGGAGCGGGGCCATAGAGGGCGGGGCGCTGCTGTGCAGGGCCCGTGTCCCGCTCTCCGGGGCTCCGCTCCCTCTGGGGCTACCCTGCCCCGGCTCCTCAGCTCCCTGCCGGGGCGGTTCCCCGGCTCTGTCCTCCCCAGTCCTGGCCGGTCCTGGAGGCGGGAGCCCTGGCTAGAGGAACCCTGGGCTGAGGCGCGGCCTGGGAGCCCCGCTGCTTACCCGGACCCTGTCAGCGCTGGACCGGCTGGAGGCGAGGGGGGAGCCCAGCGCTGGGGCGGCGGGTGGGGCGGGTGGGGAAGAGCCCAGGGTTGGAGCGGCAGGGGGTGCAGGTGGGGTGGGGGGGAGAACCCAGGGTTGGGGCAGCAGGGGGTGCAGGTGGGATGGGGGGAGAGCCCAGAGTTGGGGCGGCAGAGGGTGCGGGTGGGGTGGGGGGGAGAACCCAGGGTTGGGGCAGCAGGGGGTGCGGGTGAGGGGCAGCCAAAATTTTTTTTGCTTGGGGCGGCAAAAAACCTAGAGCCGGTCCTGATCGCAGGGACCCGGGGAGAGGAACCACCATGAGCAGCAGGTAAGGCATGAGTGTGAAAAGGTGGCTTCCCCTTTCCTTCCTCAGTGACTCTAAGATGGTACAAACAAGAGTGCCTCTAGCAAAGGATTACATAGTGAAGTCCATTTCCAAATGGATGCTGAGAGTCTTCTTAAAAGTACAATTGAGAATTATGATGTCTTAAACTCTGACAGTTCCTCAGAGGTTAAATGAACATGGGCTATTTATTCAATTTCTTTGTGCCCCGATTTATCTTCTGTAAAACAGGGACAACTCCTGTCTATAAAGTGATGTTTTGGATATGCCAATTCAGCTGCAGAAAGTTTAATCTGTGGTGAATTATGTTGCACATAATTAAATTTCTGTAGCTATTCAGTTTATGGCCACTAGTTAGCTCCAATAGCTAGGATAAACTTGATAGGCTTGCAAATGTCTTTCCAGCCTGCAAGTTTCCTGTTTTTTTTTCCCCCTCAGTCTCATTTCTACACTTGCCAATACTCCCCCTCTTGCTTCAGAGCATTAGTAATGCCAATAAAACTCAGCGTGCCCAGTATATTAGCTAAGTTGTTTCCATTTTAACCAGAGAAAAATCTATTTAATTTAGTATATTTGGCATGAGGGAGTTGTATTTGTATCTGGGTTGGGCCACGATAAGCCAATTGTCTGTCAGAGGCATAGTGCATTATGTTTAATTTTGCTTTTAGCAGTACATTTACTGGAATCTTCTGTTTGGAAAGTTGGTCTGAGCTTTGGTAATCTAATTTTGGTCTGGTGGGTGGCGATGGAAATATGAACTATGGGAAACAAAATGTTATTGCCACATGTGCTGGATTGTGGTTTGGTAGCAGGAGTTGCCTGTAATCGAGTGGTCATCAAAGCATTTCTCAGGGGATGCAATATATATATCTATCAGTTTTCAAAGAGTAAAGAAAGGTACAACGGTTATTGTGACATAGGTTTTCAGCATGTTTCTGATTATCCTCTTGGCTGGAGAGTTGGGATTTCTAATTGTAAGGTTAAGGAATCCTTTTTATCTATCTCTTGCCTCCTAATCCTACGCTAGACAGTATTGTTTTCTGTGCCTTTTGTCTTCTGCCGAAGGAGACAATCTCTGGCTCATGCGAACATCTTGTTAAAGTCTGTTGAGGCTTAGGGGGTGTGACAGTTTTCTTTCTGAGCCTTTTTATTGGGGATTTTTATGCCTGATTTTCAGGGAGGTCTTTGAAATATCTTTTATGTAGCAATCATTTCCCTGTTTCTTTGTTGTCCCAAGATGTTGAGGTTGTATTTTTCTCATCTGTTGCTGTTTATATTTGGTTCTGGTTGGTTGTAACACTTTGGCTTGAAACTCTGTGCTATTCTATCATTCTGCACCGTTCTGAATCTCAAAAATGTTGCTAACTGCCTTAGAACTGTAGCAGAGCGGATTTTTGTTTAGAGCAAATTGAGTTTTAAAATCCCTGTTGTCACTTTAAGAAAGGATTGAGTGAAAAGTCTGAAATGTTATGAAAGGATTCCCACAAAAGACTACTGAAGAGAAGAAATACAAAGAAACCAGACAGATTTTCAATAGCGATCTGGGTCTGATTTTCAAGTAGGCCAGGTTTGCAAAAGTGCTCCGCACCCAATAGCTCGCATGGTAAGTGTGATGCTTATGACCAACTTATCAAAAGGCCTCAGTAAAAGGGTTGGTTGAAAAATTTCTAATTTGACGTGTTTCTTTGAAAACTAGAAACAAGTTTTTCCTCACAAATTTTCATGACAAATTGAGCCCATTTTTTGACTAGCTGTAGAGATGGCCACAAAAATTTTCAATAAAAATGCATTTTTTGCCAAAATGTTCCCATCTTTTTTTTTTTAACCAGATCCACTCAGCATGCACCACATTTTTGAAAATTGGCCAATTAGTTTGATCTGAAATGACAGCTGAGCCCTTCTGAAAAATCTGGACCTGAATGTGGGAGCTGATGTTGGGAAAATCTTGCCAACAGGGCACTTATTGCATAATCCCAGTTTGCAGTGGTGAGCACTTACTCATACTAGTAGTCCCAGAGCATTGATTACGGCCACAACCCCGCAAGCTACGAGGGATCCATGCAGACTCTGGGGTCCATCCATGCAGATTCAGGATCAGGGATTAAGTGCTCGCTGACATGAGCCAGAGCTGCATGCTCTAGTCGATAATGAAAATGAATACAATGCTTCTCTGGTTTTCATAATGGGAAAATGACTGCACCACTTCTGCCTCGCAAAAGAACTGGTGTAAAATCTTGACTCCATTTAAGTCAATGGCAAAACTCCCTTTGATTTCACTGCGGTCAAGATTTCAGCTCAGAGTTTTTTCTATATAACTTACTGCAAAACTCCCATTGATGTTAATAGGAGCAGGATCACATCCTTATTAATTGAAGAAGAAAGGGCCACGGTTTAGCCGCTTTCCTTTTGCTCTAGTAATTACCTGCACCTATTTTTGTCTCCCCTACAAGCAACTTGGCCCATGTAACACATTGTTTCCCTCCCTCCCCATGTTTCAATTTCAGCTTCCCCAATTTTTTTCAAGGTGTTATGCCTTAAATAATCTTGTTTCATTCCCCACTGCCCTTAAAACACTCTGTTCCAGATCTGATTTCATCTTAATTTATATTACCAACTGTGTGTGTTTTGTTAATGGGTTTTATATGCAGCATAATACATATTGGTATAGCACTGATGTTTATAAAAATCAAGTTTCATACTGTACTTATTTCTCTTTCGGTCACATAAAATGCTCAAACATGGCACTGTTGCAGATTAACAGTCATTTAAAAAATAGGCTTTATGTTTGTATTTTTTCTCACTCCCTTCATTACATCCACAAGTTAGTTACTTGGATTAGAGTAATGGAAATCTTGTGGGACCATCAAAAGGGCATTTATTTGCTATTGAAATATCAATTAAGATAACATGCAAACTAATATAGTAATCAAATAAACCTGATGGATAACATAAACTTTTTTAAAAGCTGCGGAGGCACGCTAACAAATCTATTTGATCAATATATGGGATGCAAAAAACGGGAAGACAAGATTGACTGATGAATAAAATGAAACTGACACAAATAGGCTGACAGCCAGTTGTAAGTCTCTTTAGGGCAAATGCAATTAACTCAGAATAATAGACTCAAATTTGATGGTTAGAAATGCATTTTTATTAACAATCACAGCCTGAATCATTATGCACTCCTATGAATAAAATTGTACTTATATTGCGTATGTGTATGTATATATGTATGTACGTATATGTACAAAAATAGACCTCACTGGGTGAGAGCGTTGTTTTTGAGTGTCAAAGAGAATAACAGGATTTGATTTAAAATAGAAAAGCATAAACAACTGTAAATCTAAATATTTAAAACCATTACATAAAATCAAGCATACTACTTTTAAACATAAAGGCAATACGCACCCGTCTAAGGACTGCTGGTCCTTTTGGGATGTGAAATTGCAGTCAGGGATTTACAGATTTCTTTTTGAAGAAGAGAAGTCATTACTAGAAACATAAGCTCATTCGCTTTACTTTAATAGCTATTTTAAATCATTCATTTAGAAAATACATTAACAATTTATTGTATCAGCAATATGTTTCTATTGGCATTCAGTCTCCATGCTTTTTTATTTCAAATTATTTCATTAAAAGACTATTAGAATTAGCAAAATGATCCTACCAATTTCTGCAAATGCTACTCTTGAAAAGGATATTTTCCTGATTATTAACAGGTATGAAGTATTAACATTTTTAAGGGGAGGGAAGATACTCAATTGTTAATATGTCCTTTTTCTTTTGACCTTCATTACAGAGGTTGATTGCTATTTGTAAATTACTTTAAATATAATCTAATTTAATTTCTGAATAAATATAATCTCTAGTTTTGCATGGATCCCACAGGACACAGATATGAAAAGAGATGCCTTGCAGATATGCATATAATGGCAAAGTGTCCTTTTTGTCAGAAATGGGTACAATATACAGTACCATTCAATACATAGAATCTATAGATGATGTTAACAAGCACAGTGTAAAATGACTACACTACTGAGGAACCCACAGTGCTTGAGGGTTAAATCAATGTAAATATCATGCCTGGATGACAACAAGGAGTGCTAATAGAAAAAATAGGCTCCACACTAAAATTACTTTAGGTCAAATGCTGTCCTCTGCTTTGTGGTGTGGACAGGAGCAATGGAACAATGAATGGCCAGGAAATCAACAGAAAGGGAAGTGACATATTCTCCACCCACCCACAGCCTGTGGAAACCCTTTTGTACAAATGCCATGCAGCTGGTCAGTGCAGTGCAGGTTTGTTGGGTTGGAGCCAGGGAACAGCTGCGCACAAGTTATGCTTCTTTAAAAGTGACTTTAACCCTCCCCATTCCCAGGAAGAAAGTGAGCAATGTACAGTTACACTGGGAACCTGGGCTACATGACCACTGGTTGGAAGAGGCCAGTGAGAACCACAGAGAGCAGAGACCAGATTCCCTTGTAAATCCGTAGGTTCAGACAGGTTTTAAGGCTGCCATTTTACATGCCTCCTCCATATAGCCATAAACGTCTTTGCCCTGAGGGAAGAATTTCTCAGAAACTCCAAAAGGTTAATCCTCATGGATGGGTTTGTTTGTTTTTTCAAACACTTTTTCTCCTCCCATGATTTATGACAGGGCTATTATGGCTGTCTATCCCAGGGTTTCTTAAACCTTCTTCTGAAGCAGCTGATACTGGCTATTGTCAGAGACTGGATGCTAGACTAGATGAACCACTAATCTGATCCCGTCTTGCAGGTCATATGTGGCTATATCATCACCACATATCGTGTGCATATATATGTAGAAAATGATTGTGTGGGGTGGTATAGCATAAAGTTGTTCTGTTCTGAAATGGAAGCTGTTGAGAGTTTGGAATATTAAGGAGTCCCTATGGAGATGGATTTGTGGGCACAGTTCAGGTGAAGTGGTCAAATTTGCACAATCCATGCAATTTATGATGTGGCTCTTCAACCTTACACACTTGATGATGATATCCATATATCTGTCACTGGATGCTAGTGGAAAAAAATCTTACTTCTTGCCTGCGATGTCATCAGAAATGCTGTATTTTGTGATTATAGCATAACTACTGTCAAATCAGTCATTTTTAAATGAGGGAAATGCCCTAAAACAACTTACATGCAGGGCTTCAGGATGTAAACAAACTAAAGTTAAAGGGCCAGATCCTCAACTGGTGGAAATGGGTGCAGCTCCTATTGATCTCAGCAGAGTTGAACCCATTTACACCTGCTGAGAATCTGGCACTATAGGCTAGATCCTCCTTTCATTTCATTGATTTTATACCAGTGTGACTCCATTGATCTCCATGCAGTTATTCCTGATCTACAATGGAGTAAGTAAGAGGAGAATCAGGCCCTGTATGCTGATTTTTCACTGATATGATCATCCTCCCACAAAACAAGAATGATTCATTTTATCCATAAATGTCTCGAAGCTTGAGACAGGTCACATTTAAACTGGTTTCACACCAACCTCACCCCATTGATTTCAATGTCACTCCTGAATTACATGGATAATGTGAAAGGAAAACCAGGCTCTTAAAATCATATCTTAAATAATTTGTCTCTTACTAGTCTCTTAAAAATCATCTCTCTCCAAAAAATCAGCAAGCGAGAAGGAGGCTGTTTTTAAGTGCATGCTATTTTTCTTAACACAATTGTCAGTAACAGCAATATACATCTTCAATAAGTGAGCATTTTCCACAGTGTTTACATTTTCTGTTCCCCTCAGTCATTTAAAAACTGTATTTAAGCTCAGAGCTTTGCTGGGTACATTCTCTGATGCCCCGGAGAGTGTTTAAAAGGGGATTGCTGGTGTGTAGGAATGCCACGGCAACACCCTTTATGCCCCAGTTGTGTATAGATGGCACAGAAGTTTTTCTGTGCCATTGGAAGACAACTGTATGAAGGGGAAATCCTCACGTAGGATGACATAAAGACTGCACCAAATAACCAGATTGAATGGAGAATTTGGGCCAAGGACTGTAGAGTCTTCCTTTTAGATCATTTCAAGCACTTATTTCATTCCTCCTCCTCTCACCAATGAGGTCCAGGAAGCAATGGCTAATTGTCCTGTGTTCAGAGCGATAAGGATTTATGCCAATAATCCACCTTCCCCATCAGTTATCCCACCCCTTTCTCTGATTAGCATGCCGTGCATGTGACTGTGAAGCAATAAACAGGCAAATTGGTCAAAAAGGCCATTTATAGTAGTAGCTTCTGTTTAAGAGGCGCATCGCTAATCAGATTCACTGAGTCAGCATCAGCCCCTAGGCTGGCTTCTACTAGCCATCATGTTGACTTAGTGCTACAGGCGTGAACTGGATGAGCCTGGGTTTTGAATCCAAAGAACAATGCCAACAAGAATCACAGTGGATGGAGTTGGAAAAGACCCCATGGGTCAACTAGCTAAACCCCTTGCATGGAGTGAAATTTTCCTGTAGGCTAATACCTTAGGTGTTTTCTCTAACCTCTTCTTAAACACCTCTTAGTGACAGTGCCTCAACCTCTTCCTTAGGCAGCTCATTCCATTGCCTAATCATCTTTGCTCTTAAGACGTTGTTTTACCGTCCAAGCTAGATTTTTCCTTTTCCTAAATAAGCAGCATGGCAGGTGTCCTGCTGTGGAAACTGAAAAAAAACCTTAATGTAGTTTGGGGGGAAGAGTGGGGGAGGCAGAAGGGATTGTGAAGAAGTAAAGTGAAGCCTGCCCGTTCCTGGATTTACTTATTTATTTTAAAATATTAAAGGGCTGAATTCTGTTCTCTCTCACATCTATCTAAATCTGGAGTAATGCATCAAGACACAAAAGGAGTTACTCTGGTTTCACACTGATGTAAACAAGTTCTGAATTTGGCTCCAGGTTGCTAAGCTATGGTAGCTGTTTTATATATATTAGGTAATGCTGTGGTAATAAAATAAGATTGAAATTATTTTAGTTATTAGAGTAGCTCTAATAAGACAGTTTTCTAGGGTACTGAGTAGCTGGCACCCAAAAAACATCTAACATTCCCAGTATTATAGTACATAAATACCTCCAGCAATCACCTGATCTGTTTGATTTTCTAGTAAAACACAGTGACCCAGCATTTTATTAATAGTAGTATTAACAACAGTGGCTAGAGACCCCATGATTGGAGCTCCAGGTGCTCTACATACACATAGATGGAGGCAATCCGAAAGAGCTGACAATCTAAATAGACTATGGAAGTCTGAGGATTTTACACGTGGGAACTGTAGCACAGAGAGATCATAGAAGATTAGGGTTGGAAGGGACCTCAGGAGGTCATCTAGTCCAATCCCCTGCTCAAAGCAGGACCAATCCCCAACTAAATCATCCCAGCCAGGGCTTTGTCAAGCTTGACCTTAAAAACCTCTAAGGAAGGAGATTCCACCACTTCCCTAGGTAACCCATTCCAGTGCTTCACCACCCTCCTAGTGAAAAAGTTTTTCCTAATATCCAAACCTCCCCCACTGCAACTTGAGACCATTACTCCTCGTTCTGTCATCTGGTACCACTGAGAACCAGATCCATCCTCTTTGGAACCCCCTTTCAGGTAGTTGAAAGCAGCTATCAAATCCCCCCTCATTCTTCTCTTCTGCAGACTAAACAATCCCAGTTCCCTCAGCCTCTCCTCATAAGTCATGTGCTCCAGCCCCCCATATCATTTTTGTTGCCCTTTGCTGGACTTTTTCCAATTTTTCAACATCCTTCTTGTAGTGTGGGACCCAAAACTGGACACAGTACTCCAGTTGGGCCTCACCAGTGCCGAATAGAGGGGAATGCTCACGTCCCTCGATCTGCTGGCAATGCTCCTACTTATACAGCCCAAAATGCCGTTAGCCTTCTTGGCAACAAGGACACACTGTTGACTCATATCCAGCTTCTCGTCCACTGTAACCCCTACGTCCTTTTCTGCAGAACTGCTGCCTAGACGTTCGGTCCCTAGTCTGTAGCTGTGCCTGGGATTCTTCCTTCCTAAGTGCAGGACTCTGCACTTGTCCTTGTTAAACCTCATCAGATTTCTTTTGGCTCAATCCTCTAATTTGTCTAGGTCCCTCTGTATCCTATCCCTACCCTCCAGCATATCTATCACTCCTCACAGTTTAGTGTCATCTGCAAACTTGCTGAGGGTGCAGTCCACGCCATTCTCCAGATCATTAATGAAGATACTGAACAAAACCCGACCCAGGACTGACCCTTGGGGCATCCGCTTGATACTGGCTGCCAACTAGACATGGAGCCATTGATCACTACCCATGGAGCCCGACGATTTAGCCAGCTTTCTATCCACCTTATAGTCCATTCATCCAGCCTATACTTCTTTAACTTGCCGGCAAGAATACTGTGGGAGACCGTATCAAAAGTTTGCTAAAGTCAAAGAATAACACATCCACTGCTTTCCCCTCATCCACAGAGCCAGTTATCTCGTCATAGAAAGCAATTAGGTTAGTCAGGCATGACTTTCCCTTGGTGAATCCATGCTGACTGTTCCTGATCACTTTCCTCTCCTCTAAGTGCTTCAGAATTGATTCCTTGAGGACCTGCTCCATGATTTTTCCAGGGACTTAGTTGAGGCTGACTGGCCTGTAGTTCCCCCAGATCCTCCTCCTTCTCTTTTTAAAAGATGGGCACTACATTAGCCTTTTTCCAGTCATCCGGGACCTCCACTGATCGCCATGAGTTTTCAAAGATAATGGCCAATAGCTCTGCAATCACATCCGCCAACTCCTTTAGCACCCTTTGATGCAGCGCATCCAGCCCCATGGACTTGTGCTCGTCCAGCTTTTCTAAATAGTCCCGAACCACTTCTTTCTCCACAGAGGGCTGGTCACTTCCTCCCCATGCTGTGCTGCCCAGTGCAGTAATCTGGGAGCTGACCTTGTTTGTGAAGACAGAGGCAAAAAAAAAATTGAGTACATGAGCTTTTTCCACCTCCTCTGTCACTAGGTTGCCTCCCTCATCAAATCATTTGTACAAGCTCACACAGGAAGTCAGTGGCAGAGCCATGAACTGAATGTTGCTCATCTGTCCCGTAGGCCAGCGCCTTAACCACAAGCCAGGATTCTCCAATTTTATATAGTCTTGAAAATTATCATCATCCTACACTGGGTTTCCTGAAGTTATCATTTCTCTTTATTCCCTGATCAAAGAAAGGGCTACGGTTTTACATTTCCTATGTATGATTTATGTTTGAAAATGTTGGAAACTCATTTCACTATCCTCAGCAATAATACTAGCCTCTTCCAAGCTATGCTGTCTGCAGTGACTGTGCATTCATGGCTTACTGAAGACCCTCACGAATCACCTTATCTTTCATTTCAGCCCCTTTTTAGTTTAGTTTTTATTTTTGCAGGTAAATATTTGCCTAATTCCAGTGACACTCCTGAAATTGTACTGAGAGAAGGTGAATTTGTGACATTTCAAACTATACTGATCTTAAAACAAAATCCCAATGAAATCACCAGGAAGCAAAATTCCATTAAAATCAAAACAAAATAAAGCTATAAAATACTATTTTCCTGTTTTAAAAAAAAGGATAAAATTAGATAACTATTATTCTCTGGAAATTCACACTTGTCTGCCTAGCTTCATAGATTTGTAAAGCCGGAAGAGACCACTTGATGGTCTATCGTAGCACAACACAAGCCACAGAATTTCACCCAGAAATTCTTTCAGTGAAGAGAATTATTCTTCTTTACTACATAAGTGAACGCTGTCAAATCCAAACAGTAAGGTCAATTTAGGCCCCACATTTAGGGCTAGATCCTGCTCCCCTGGAAGTCAATAGTTTTGCCACTGATTTTGATGGGAGCAGGATCAAGTCTTTTATTTTCAACTTGAGGCATATAGGTTGGAATTATAAAGAATGATTATTTAAAATAGCAATGATGTAATATCAGTGTCAATTCCATTATTTTAACAGATGTAAATTTGCTCTGCTCTTGAACTCTGGTGAATTGTAATGGCAATATTAAAGAGATACTATTAAGACTACTTAAAAGAACTATTTGTAAAAATTGTCTCAGATAAAAAAACAGTATAAATTGCTTTTTTATTCAGTCTGTGCAATTATTTATTTGAATGGGTTTGTATATTATTACAAATTAATGGGAATAAGCCGCTAAAAGAGACATGTTAATAATACTAGTTGACATTGGATACAGGAGAGCGTACACTGCCTTGAGGATGAAGATGGCCTTCCTCCAAAGCAACTGCTAGAATAATCTTAGCTGCAGAGCAAACACAGTTATCGCAGTGCGCAGAATTATAGCTCGATGATGTAGAGAGATGCTGTAACTGAAAATCATCAGGTTAAGTATGTTTAACTGATGGAGCATATTTGTGTGCGTGTGCAGGGCAAATGTCCTTTCTGCAAACGCTACGGGGCCCTTTCACTGCCCTCTGTTTTCCCAGCATTCAAAGCATGGGTGCCGAGCTTCTTGCAGGATTAGGCTCTTATTTTATATGGTGTTTTTCATGGAACCTGTATACCAAAATATTCAAGAGTTAAAAAACAGAAAGAGAGAGAAACAAACACTGAGAGGTATTAGCAAGGAGGAGAATGTGTAGCTACAGCAGAGTTTGGAAATGGACTTTTCCTAACCTGTATACATCTCCTACCCAGAGAGGGCTGTATTTTCATCCAGTTCATGTTAAAATAACCAAACTTTCCTTCCTGAAAGCACTAAGGGCCTGATCCAAAGCCCATTGAAGTAAATAGGAGTCCTGACTGCAGTATGAGACCGAAAATCAGGAAACCTTGAATCTAATAATGCAGTACTGACACTAGGTCACTTTGAGCTCGATCCTGCTCCCATTGAAGCCAGTGGCAGTTTTAGCTCCTTGTGCTGTTGGGCCAGTGATTTTGGGTGGCACAAGTTTTGGTTGACCAACTTAAAACACAGAGGGCCTAACTGTCAGAGCATTTACAACTCGAAATGAAGTCCATGAGCGTTGCATCTCTGAAAAGAAGGTGCAAGATGGGCACTCTAAAATGGGGTAAACAAGATCAGTGGCCACTTTTAAATGTTTGCATTTCTGTGCTTCAGTCTCTCAACCTCTAAGATAAAGGTTATAGATAGGGTGAACCCAGTCTGCAAAGTTTTGATCTGAACTTCCTCAGGGTTCGAGAAGGTTCACCTGTAAGGTTTGACTTGGTTCATTATAGAAATAGGATCCAGCCACAAAGTTCAGATCTGGAGCAGAGTTTCACTCAAGTTTCTAAAGTTTTGGTTCAGGCCAACCTTCAAAGGTGTGAGGCTTAGCTCGTTAAAGTCAGCCAAGTACATTGACATCATATAGTGGAAGGTGTAAAGCATTATTAGTGTCTTCTCACCTGTCTTATTGGAAAAGTCCATTGTTTAAAGTTCTCTATGCAGAGCTGTAAACTGTCCAGTCAGTAGAACTATGCAAAATTACTAGGTGTTCCCCCTCACTGAGTATTCATGGGCACAACCAGAGATTTTCTTTTTCACAATTACTCATGAATTTGATCAAAGCTGAAATGCGTCTATTTCCATTAGCAAAGGCTTCTCTTTTTTTCGGTGCAGATAAAGTGAAATATCGCAAAGGGCAAAATCCTGAATCCCTCCCCCCCTCCCCATTTGCCCCTCGGGGTATAAAGCAGCTTTTTTTCATGGCAAAATGGCAGTCTTTTACTTGTGTACAATTGCCTCTGGTTTTTGTAAAAGCCAGGAAAAACCCAAGGAAGCTAAAGGTATAGTTGAAAGCAGCAGATATAAAACCTCTAGTAGTAGAACTCCACCTTGATTTAGTAAGTTGTCCATCCTGAACCCCATTAACAGTTTATCTATTAAACTGAAATACCAAATGCCCAGTTGCTTCCAGTGCTTTTTTGTTTTTTAAGCGAATGGCCATGACTTCACCCGGATTTGAGCTGACTGACCCAGAGCAGAGTGCTCCGTGATCTCAGGCTCTCAGAGAGTCTCAGCCTCCTTGTAACACATGTGGCTGGAGCAATCGGAACTCAGTCAGCACAACGTTTTAAAGGGCAGCCAAACCAACCCTGATGGGCACAGAGCAGTGAGCTTGGAAGGGCTTATTTGCCAGAATCCAAGCTCCTGATCTGCAGTTTTGCTTGTGTCTTAATGGTACATTCTACCCGGTG